GCGATGGGTCGTCTGTTTTCCGAACAGACACATTCACATCTGCTCTCAGCCCACCGGCTTCCATACCAGAAACACATGTGTCAGCAGTGTTGAGGAGGAGCTGAATCTTGCGCACAAAGGCAGCAGCCGTGCGCGGGTGATGCAAATCTGGCTCTGTAATGATCTCTATAAGAGGCACCCCGACTCGATTCATGTCTAGCCAATGCACGTTTCCAGACTGCGCCAAGGTCTTGGCAGTGTCTTGTTCAAGCTGCACCTGTTTGATTCTCACAGTGACACTGTCGCCATCTTCGGCGGCAATGCCATCTCGAGCCATTAAAGTGATGTTGCCATTCTTAGCAAACGGTTCATAATACTGCGTGATTTGATATCCGGAAGGCTGATCCCACCAAAAGTAATGCTTTCTGTCAAAGCGGCTAACGGGATTGATGTCGCAGTTGAGGGCCAGCGCAGCTCGAATAGCCGGTATCAGGGTCTCTTTCTGGAGCAGCGGTTGGCTGCCTGGCATCGACACGTCGAACAATGCCACATGACTGTTCGGTTCGTCATTGAACGACGTGGTCGCAGCGGAGAACAGCTTGCGAGTTGTATTCAGCTGTGCATGGATTTCAATGCCGACGGTCAGCTCCCACCCGTCCACAGTCTGAGAGTCGCTCTTTGACTTCTTTGTCCCCTGTTTCTTGGCCAATTTCGCCTCGTCCTTTAACTGTTTCCGCAGAGTTACTATTGTGTGTTCCTTCGTCTTCGCAGCTAACGCTATAGGGGGGTTATGATGCAGTGCTCGTAGCCGACCGAACGACTGTAGAGTCATGCCACTGCGTCCACGGCCATGGCAACCGGTCAAGCAGCCTCGATGGTGGAGTAACCCGTCGAGGAGATATCTGCCTGCTTCTCCGATTCGAGCTCGACTCATTGCTGTGTTCAAGGCGGGATGAAGCGTCCTCTGATTTTGTGTCGATTGCAGCCGGATTTCCCGCTGTGCAACGTCTGAGAAATGTCGCTGTTCAATAATGCTGGCACCGTCATTTGGCGTCTCTGGTGCAACTACAGGACTCGTGCATGAAGCGGCGCATCACTGGGCGGCAAGAAGGTCTGTAGAGGCCGCAGGAATGTGGGAATACAGGGACGCAAGTTGCAAAGTCTGCTGGCGCTTTTCGTTTCGATCCAAATTTAGTCGAGTCGCGAAGCATGGAGTGTTGGACGGTGATGGAGGACCAACAGACTCGGAGAGAGCTGAGAGCTCTTGCAAGCTGCAGTCCTGTCTTTGCGACGGGATTGAAGAAGAGAATTGAGAATAAGGCCAAGGAGTAAGGACTAAGGACTAAGGATAAGGATAAGGATAAGGAATAAGCTGTGGTTGTGGATCCAGACCAATCGTCGCCTCTCGAGCTGATCCAGGTTCCAGATTCCATACCACCACATCCCTTCCCTTCTCCAATCTCGCGCATCAGACTCGATGCAAGCCCACGACCCCAACATGATGCGCGAGCAACGCACGCAGCTCGCCCAACGGCATCACCAGACACCCGTCCCCCACTTGAAGCGACGCTCATAGCTACATGCTATCCTGCTCCAACAGCACATCATCATTTGTGAGCACTTGAAAGTGCGCGTTGGGCATCGTTGGGTATGCTGCGAAAGATGTTGATCTCGGGCCTGCTCATGCACCGTTGAGAACAGGCAGGAGACAGGTTTCATTACTATCGGGTTGTTGGGTTGTCGGCTTGTTCGTTGACTCAAGCCCAAGGATGCCATGACTTGGAGACGATACTCGGGCTTTCGACGAACTGCAAAGAACACCAGGTGAACCAAGCAAACTGAGCGATCCAAGCGCATTGCTCCATCGTAGCTGTACGTGGGAAGTCGCGACAGAGAGGGTGCCTCTGCGGCTGCGTCTGTCTGCTTCTCCCGCCGCGTACAAAGGCATATTAATATTAATGCGTGTCCGATCCGGCAACACGTGTCATTGCCTCATGATGCGTCACTTCGTGGCCGCCATGTAGCATTGGAGCCTCCTCCACTCGCGAGTGCCCGTCTGCCGCACCTTGGGAAGGAGGGGGGGAAGAGAGTTCATGTCAATGTCTCATGGCATATGTTCATGAGCATGTACTCTGTTCCCCAGAACAGATATGCAGGTGTTAGCGGCTCGACATCGAATTGTCTCGCAGCGCGGCGTTCCCATACTGTATACCGTACACGTAAGCGCTTCTGTTCGTCATATCAAATGGCTCATAGAGTTATAGCGTCTTCCTTGCTGGCACTGTAGTTCAGTCCTCAAGCGCTCAGTCCGGCTGCTATATTTCAGCTGGTTGATGTCGTCGACACGACTCCAAGCCTACTTATTCTTCTTCATCTTCTTATATTTTCTTTCTTTCTACCTCAACACAGCTCTTCCAAGTTCTGACACATATATCCATATATTGCGCAAACCGCGGACGGAGCCTGGCCTTTTGTAAAACTGTCCATAAAATGAGTGCGGAAAGTGATGATGGCCAGACCGCGGACACGTTGGCCACCTATCCTGACACCGAGCATGGCGAGCATGGTGAGCACGACGAGCACGACCAAGGAGCCTTTCTAACGCCAGAAAGTGAAGTGGAAGCCCCGTCAACTCGGCAAGATGACACCAAAGCAGACGGGCCTCGAGAGCCTACCAAATATGTCCCGCCCTCTTGCGAAAGTGTCCAGACACCAACGCCACCGCCTCATTTGGAAATTCTATCTCCTCGTCCGTCACCCCATGTGCCTGGCAAGAACCGCATCACAGCTATCGTAGGGGACTGGGAAGAAAACAACTCCCACAATCCTATCCAACACACCTCATCCTCCCCCTTCCGTGCAACCACACCCCCTTTGGTTGAGGCTTCGCTCAGCCCAGGCGTACAGGAAAACACCGTCAAAACTGCCAAATCAGAGATATACGTGCAAGACCACAAAGACGAGCCATATCGGCGGCAGATCGAGCCCTCAGACGTGCCTTTTCAATCAAGTGCTCAGCAAAACACATCAAGACGCCGACCGAGTGTCATGGACTATCTGGTTTCACACGGACCTGTCAAATATCCAATGCCAACTTCGCGAGCAAGCAGCTCTCCATCTCGTAGGGTATACTCAGAGGGGCAGCACTGGCAAAACAACGACCGTCTGCCAACTCATTGGGGACAAGCCCACGGCCTTCCTGGCTACCAAGTGGAAGAGAGGAGGCAACAGACGGGATGGACTACACATCAACCTTCTCTCCGATCACTCGACAAATTTTTAAATGTCCACGACGATCTTGGCTCAGAGGTATCGCATAAGAGGGTCTTCAGTCAGACCTGGGAACAGAATGGCCTGTCTGCACCATCCTCAAACAGTAGCCTATCAAATTATGATAGCCGCTCAGACGTATACACAAGTCAAGAGTATTCCGACCTTGCTAGCCGTCTGGACAACATGGCGCCTAGTGGCTATCACCACTTGGCCACGAAGTTGTCTGGAGACTCCTGTGGCCAACCCATCCCACCGATCTATCGTCGATTTGAAGCTCTAAATCATCGTCTCTTATTGTATATGCAGGAGGAAATTACTGATTTGGAGCGCCAGCTCATCTCGTTGGAGGCCAGGGATACAGCCAAGAGAAGCTACGCAGGTGGCGTCCTGCCCGCGTCTCAGCGTCAAGATCGCCGGATCGATAGCAGCTTGGCACACCAAAAGACGGAGATTCTCGGTCTCATTGGCTACAAATTGAGCCAATACAGTAAGAAGCGTCTTCATATTCTACGAAATCTCTCGTTGCATCTAGACATCGCAGCTGACAATGCGTTAGATCACGTTATTGCGTCGTATTGCAAAGTACAAGACATCCCACCACCAACATGGCGGGATATCCACATGTACAAAAACTACCTCGCCACTAGCAAGCTGATTGTAGACGATGAAACACGGTTTCTTGACGCCTCAAACGACCTCATCGCACTCAATGCCCTAAACCCAGCTATGGACGATTACAACACCACCACCGTCGATGTACCAACGCCAATGCCCGAAGCAGCCGAGAAAGAACAGTTTCAGACCTTCTTCAGAGACAATGGGAGCTCACCGTCTGCACGGCTTGACCAAGGTGTAACCCGCAAGCCTGACGATGCGCTGTTCGTGCGACTTGCTCTTTCTGGTACATGTGTCGTACTTGTGCCTATCATGATGTTCATGATCATACCCAGCTTCGCAGGGCGTCTGGCCATTGTTCTGCTCGTTGTACTCGGTGCCAGCATCATGCTCGATCAATCTGGCTTGCTGCAAGAGGCTGAACGGCAGAGACGGAACGGGATGGTGTATTTTGGATTATACTGTGGTGCTATGGCTGTGCTGGCTGGTGCAGTGAAATGATCGTTCGTCTTCACTAGGACCTGTCCGGGTTTAATCTCTTTTACTCTCATCTACGGAATTGGGGCTGAAAGAGTGTGTCAGACTATTGGAACAAATAGCAACGGAGCTTTGACATATCATCGCATGTGATCGACTGTTATCGCGCGCGCTTCTATCTTTTTCTTTCTTTCTTTCTTTTTTTTAGTTTTTATTAACAATGGACTCAGATTCTCTTATGATCTGATCAGAACAAGTCCTTTTGGACAATGTTCTCCGCGTACTTTCATCTTGGCGAACGGCAAACTCCTCTGCCTGGCATGCCTCAATTGCGCTCATTCGTCGCCTTCTTCCTAAGCGCGCACAACATTCATCCTTGCTAATTTCACCACTTGCCAGCTCTATATATCAAATGTTGCAATGGAGTCCCACACCGCTCAGGGCGAATGGTTTAGTGGTATAATACTCCCTTAGCATGACTTAGTCGACTGGGAGTGGTCCAGGGTTCGATTCCCTGTTCGTCCAATTGAATGGTATTGAATCCATTGTTATACCCTACTTTTTTTGATTGAGTAGAACAAGTTCAATTTTTTTTCTTTCTTGTCTGGGAGTCTTGTTTCTTGGAGCACTTTGCGTTGTGAGACAGCCATCTGATTGGGCGAATGGTTTAGTGGTATAATACTCCCTTAGCATGGCTATAACATCTGGGAGTGGTCCAGGGTTCGATTCCCTGTTCGTCCAGTAGTCTTTGACCAAGGCGTCGTGTATCCTTTTTGCATGATTTTACTGTTTCTGGCATTGTGCAGCTTTGTCACACCAAGTTTTTTTTTCCTTTTGGCCCATACTTTCCTCCCTAGAGCTTAAGACGTCAGCGCAATAAACGGGACTTGGTTGGTAGAAGCGGTCTGCAACTAGATCTTCATTAAGGAGTGTTAATTCTTCGATTGAATGAGCGAACCGAAATCTTTGAAAAACAATTTGATGTCTGTGGTTGTAAATAAATTCCGTTTGGGCTGCCCCACCTCGACGTTGGACTCTTGACTGACTGGCGGCGGGGCACACGCTCCAGGAAATTCTGAGGGGGACTGGCAACGTGAGCTGTGTGTGACTGTGTGACTCAAACAATCCCATCCCACCGCCGCGATAAACGAAGAAATTGTCACCGACAGCTTTCTCGCCGTTGGCACGTCACATTCGACCATTCGTTCGGAGGATACGATTTCGTGCCCATCATGGCGTCGCAGACCAGCAGTACCGCAGGAGATCTTGCTCACCAGATCCTCCATGCGCTGGACAAGAAATCACCCCTCCTTTCCTCCGAAGCCTTTCCCTCGACGCCCTCAACCGAGGTCAAGGGCGCTCTCGACAGACTCGCTTCGCGTGACATGGTCAAGTACGAGACCATAGATCGCGAGGAAGCTCTTCTGGAACCTGAAGGCGAGCAGATTGCCGCCAATGGCAGCCACGAAGTCCGTGTTTTCGAGGCCCTACGTGTTGCCGTGGAGGGTTTAACCATCCAAGAGCTTGAGAAGGCTATTGGCGACAAGAATGTCGTCAAGATTGGTCAAGGCAGAGCTTTCAGGGAGAAATGGATCTCAAAAACCCAAGGTAAGGGATTTCCTATCCATTTGGTCTTTTGTGTTTTCGTAATTTGTTTTGGTCCGTGTTCCAGCATGAATTGAGGCGGAATTAGTCGACTGACGTGACTCAATGCATGTTCGCAGATGGTAAATTGAAGGCGGCCGTGAGTAGAATCTGCATATTCTGGTGAGGGGATTGGAGTGGTACGGGAGGACATGAGGAATGGCTGACGTGCAAGCCTTCTCAATAGAAAGAGTCTGTCCAAGACACGACCAAAGAGCAGATGCAGACCATTCAATCGACGCGAACGTTTCCAGATGCCAAGATGCTGGCCGATCTGAAGAAGCGCAAGCTTGTGCGGACGCAAAAGATCATCAGCTTCAAAATCGAAAAGGCTGAAAAATTCGCTCTTAAAATCCCCGAGGTCGCCACCGATTTGACCGCCGATATGATTGCTAGCGGCTCGTGGAAGACTGCTAATTTCAAGGGATACAACTTCAAGGCTTTGGGTGCCGATCAGCAGTCTGGAGCTTTGCACCCTCTGAGCAAGGTTCGGTCTGAGCTGAGGCAGATCTTCTTTGAAATGGGTTTCCAGGAGATGCCCACAGATAAGTAGGTTATCAGGATATACTGGTTTCGGCTGCGTCGGCTGGCTGGCTAATGCGGCGTCAGGTTCGTTGAATCTGGCTTTTGGAACTTTGATACGCTTTTTGTTCCGCAACAACATCCTGCGCGTGATATGCAAGATACTGTACGTGTTCCAGTACTTGATTGGAGGTTCATCACGATTGTCCATAAGGCGGCTAATAGCGTTTGCAGTTCTATGTCTCTGATCCCAAGGAGGCGGATTTTCCAAGAGCCGAGGATGCCAATGATAAGGGTGACTACAAGGCGTATTGGGATAACGTGAAGGAGGTCCATCAGGTATGACATGATATGAACCATATACATGAGGAACCAGCACTGGGCCTGGAGAAAGTTTTTAATTCTTGACTTAGGACGGCAAATACGGATCGATAGGTTACCGATACCCTTGGTCTGGAGAGGAGACTCGAAAGCTGGTACTTCGAACGCATACCACAGCCATCAGTGCGAACATGCTGTATAAATTGGCCCAGCAAAAGGGCCCTGATGGTCGCCCACCCCCAGCTCGCTATTTCTCCATCGATCGTGTGTTCCGCAACGAGACTGTAGACGCCACCCACTTGGCAGAGTTTCACCAGGTTGAAGGTGTCATTGCTGACTATGACCTAACTTTGGGTGGCCTCATGGAGGTAAGATATCAAGGGGCACGCTGCTCTGTGTCAGCCAAGACCATGAGAACAATGTCGCTGATCTTGGCAGTTTATGGATATTTTCTTCGGCAAAATGGGCATCACTGATCTCAAATACAAGTGTGCCTACAACCCGTGTAAGTAGCCTAGATTGCCGCTCTTTTTTTTTTTTTTTTTCGTGATGACGGTGACTAAAAGTGGCAATAACTAGACACGGAACCTAGCATGGAAATTTTCTCATACCGTAAGTCACTCATCTTTGCAATAAATAGGTGAAGGGCGAGGGTGGAAGCCATTGCTAAAACGAACATAGACAAGGGCCTTGGGAAGCTAGTCGAGATTGGTAACAGCGGCATGTTCCGAGCCGAAATGCTGGAATCTATGGGTCTTCCGTACGTGATGAGACGACTCGCTTCCTATTGTTCTGGAAAACGAAGCTGACTGTCCATGTAGCAAGGATATGCGAGTGTTTGGCTGGGGTCTGTCCCTTGAACGACCCACCATGATCAAATATGGCATTTCCAACATTCGCGAGTTGTTGGGTCACAAAGTCGATCTGAACTTTATGCGCAACAGCCCCGCAGTGCGTTTGGACAAGGAATGATCGGGACAAAAGAGAAAAAAAAAACATGAAAAAAGAATCAGAACATCCAGCGCGAGGCAGGGGCTTTTACTTCTTCGACATGATGGGATGGGGAAGGTCGGTCGAGACATATGAAAAGTTCAGACGGATGTTGAATACCATGACTGATAGAGGCGACATATGACATGTTGATGTTTTGTTGTTTTGATGGCGCACCTCATCCCCCGCCTTGGGTCTCTTTTGTGTGACACACTTGATGCATCCAGTCATGGGTAAAAATATCAGGCTTCAGGAACGCGACTAGATTCCACTCACTAGGTACATGTAAAATGTGAGCTGAGCATCCATCCAGGAACGATGCTCAGATGAAATACCATCCCATACAAAGGAAAAATACCTGCCAAGTTGCTACTCTCACATGGTCATCATGCCCATGATCCAACTCGGAAAAGAAGCACGCTAAAGCATCACCACCAACCCCGCAAGTCAGTCAAAAAAAGAAAAACAAAAAACAAAAAAAAAAAAAACATTAAAACAACCAACCCGATTTGGAGAAAAGAGAACCCCCAAAAACCCCTTTCCTGGCCGCATTTCGATTAGCACCAGTCCACCAGTGCGTCATTCCACAGCCTCGCACAGCAACCCGCTGTCGTCTGGTCCTTCCTTCCCTGCTTGCCCCTCCCCCACGAATAGGAGGACCTGCCCCGCCAGCCATCCACCACGATTGCGGATGTCGTTGTCATGACATCATCAGCATCATCATCACCAATCACTCCCACCTCTAGTCTTCCCGTTACTCGTCAGCAACCACGGCATTCGTGCAGAAAGGCTAGCGGCCACCAATAGACCCAACTGCTCTTATAAAGAGTCAACGCCTCCTGCTACTTCTTTTCTTTTCATTTGTCAACCCGATTGTCCATCACACCCGTACACTTTCTATTTTTATAGAAAGAAAACACTTCAAAATTCAAAATTCAAAATTCAAAATTCAAAATTCAAAACATAAACATGTCTTTCCTTACAGAGCGTATGGTCCGAGCTGCCCTGCCGTTGGGCAGAAGCATGGCCGTCCGGGCTCCCCGCGTGTTCAGCACGTCGCCTGCACTGAGAAAGACGCCCACGGAGAGTGTAAAGGATGGGCTGAAGTCTGTGGACCGGGCTGTCACGGATAATGTTGTTCTTCCTGGTCTTGATGCCGCTGGTGGGTGTTTTTTTTTTTTTTTTTTTTTTTTTT